GTAAGTGTGAAAAATGGTCATAAGTCACTTCTTTCAGTGCTTTTGTAAGTAGGTCACTAAATGAACTGTTGTAAGGATTACCCATATATTCTTTTTTTCATGACATAAACTATAGATTGCTCCATCTCATGTTATATATCAACTCTTTTTTTAATTATAAGAGGATGCCTCTTTTACTGGCAGTGTCTTCTTGCACTTTCCTGCTGTCTGTGCTGTTCCCAGTTGCTCTAAATATTCTCTAAATATTCTGCTAGCCTGGTGTTTTATTTCAAAAGATTTTTCTATAGCACACTAGAATGTACACTAATATAAAGTAATATCTACTTTATATACTGCCTCTTCATATAGAAGAGCCATTTGATAGCATGATACATTTTTCCTTGTCTTATTCTTATCTAATGCAGCATTCTGCTGTACTTCCAATCATGGCCAACCAGAAACTTCAAGAAAATCCATAAGACAAAAAAAAACTTATCAGTTCCCACCATCAGATATGCTACCCTAAAACATGTGGTTCCAATGACTTATAATGCCTCTAAGTCATTATAAATGCCTCCACTTCGCATGGGGTACTTATCCGTGGCTATTTTTTAAAAGATAAGGAATTCATGAGACATCGCCGTGGCTGGATTTGTATTAAAAGAAAGATTACTGAAAATATAATGACTATATTTGCTAGTGTGTGCGTGTATGTACATTTATTCATTGGATAAATTTATATGCCCCCCTCCACTTGAACGCCACAATTCTGGATGGTGTACAATAAGCAAGATACAAAAATGAAATCATTTCAGTTAAAATTGGTAAATAACCATTGATAGTGATTAAGGGATGACATTTATTATGATCCTGTAGGCATGAACTCATTCTAGCCCCAACACCTGAGACAAAAATGCTATGTATGTCCTGCCTGTTTGGTTAGGTTTTGGCATAGTACATTCTGCTAACCTAGAATATGCATTGATTGATAATCAGGCTAAACATGCTCTAACACATGTAGAATAATTTACTTTAATAAGAAGTATTCAGATACAGGTACTCCACAACTTACAACAATTTGTTTAGTGGCTGTTTGAAGTTACAACGGCTCTGAAAAAAGCAACCTATGAGCGTTTTTCACACTTAGCGATGATTGCAAACCCCCCCTCCCTCCCAGTCAAAATTCAGATGCTTGGCAACTGAGTCCTATTTATGACGGTTGCCGGGTCCTGGAGTCATGTGATTCCGCTTTTGCGACCTTCTGACAAACTCAATGGGGAAGCCAGATTCACTTAACAACTGCAGGGATTGACTTAACAACTGTGGCAAGAAAGGTTGTAAAATCCAGCAAAACTCACTTGTCTCACTTAAAGTAAAGGTAAAGGTTCCCCTTGCACATATATGCTAGTCATTCCTGACTCTAGAGGGTGGTACTTATCACCGTTTCAAAGCTGAAGAGCCAGCACTGTCCGAAGACGTCTCCATGGTCCTGTGGCCAGCATGACTAAACACCGAAGGCGCATGGAGCACTGCTACCTTCCCACCAAGGTGGTCCCTATTTTTCTACTTGCATTTTTTACGTGCTTTCGAACTGCTAGGTTGGCAGAAGCTGGGGCAAGTAACAGGAGTTCACTCCATTATGCAGCGCTAGGGATTCGAAATGCCAAACTGCTGACCTTTCTGATCAACAAGCTCAGCATCTTAGCCACTGAGCCACCGTGTCCTGACGTCTCACTTAGCAACAGAAATTTTGGGCTCAGTTGTGGTTGGACGTAAAGGACTGCCTGTATTAATAAGGTTGTATTGTTAACCGAAGCACAAGGTAAGGAGAGCAGGGATTAATGTTTCCAACAGCAGCTACGCTCTTGAGTGTGAATTATAAAAAAAATCAGCCACAATAACAGATAAATGTGTTCATATTAGGTGGGTGGTTTTTCCTTTGTATAAGACCAAGGACAAAACATAGCCACAGAGTTGCTGGAGCAACTGCATTCTGCTATCAAGGCTATTGGGAACTTCGATCCAGATCTGATCAGATGGGTCAATTTGGAAAATATACAGAGTCCCGGACCACAACTAAGACCAAAATATCCATTGTTACACCTGATTTTATGAGGACCCGGATTGTTGGGGGCAATATGCTGACTCTGTAAACTGCTTAGAGAGGGCTGAAAGCCCTATGAAGCGGTATATAAGTCTAACTGCTATTGCTATAACCTTTTTTGGCCATAGTCGTTAAGTG